GCATGCGCATTTGCATAAATGTCTACACACATACGCACACACATACTACACACAATAAAAAACAAAAGAAATGTGACAGAGTGATTACAATAGTTCCTATTGCATTACATGCATAGGAACTAAAAAAATAATAAGTTATTTTTTCCTCAGTCATTCTGTTGTAATCAGTTTTATTGTTTTTTAGACCAAATAAATGATGTGAAATAACAATAATACTACTATAATAATTATACTAATAATAACAATTATAATAAGGTTAATTAACTACACATACCTGTGGCTCTCCACTTATGTCAATATGGTGACATCCATTCTCAACACATGCTCTCACTAACTGCTCACCAAAAAACCTGTACTACAATAAAGAAAAGAAATAAATAATAAAACCATACTGTAAATCCTCGAACAGAAGCCCAATGGGCTTAATCTCGAGAAGAAGCCTATCTCAAATTGAATCCCCCTCTTTATTTTGCAAATGTAGCCTCGAAAAGGGCTTCTCTTCGAGATAGTACAGTACATACACTGTACATGAATACAAAGAAACAAAAATAAATTAAAAACATGCTTGGTTTATACAGTAGTTTAGGTGATTTAATGATGGTTAATAGACTAAATAATACAGACTTTTGTTACAGTGACCCTATTTATTGTTTTATAGCAGTAATTCCAAAAATCTACAGCGTTAATTTTGAAAAGAAGCCCCCTCTTTACTTTGCAAAAGTAGCCTTGAAAAGAGGCCAATCTCAAAAAGAAGCCCATCTTGAAAAGAAGCCCATCCAAAGGTCACCAAAAAAAAAAAAAAATGTTTTATGGTAGTAGGTTAGTTATTGTGCAAAGCGTGTTGGCAAACGCTAGTTTGGCATAGATCAATATCTGGCATAGATCGTTGGGAAAAATATTTGCTTTTTGAGATTTACTCAGTCATTATGTTAGAACTTAGTGCTGGGCTATAATTTGGTGACATTTCATATACCAAATTTACAGGTCTTAATGAAGCAGTTTATCGTTCTCAGCATTTTAACACCTTTCCATAAAAACTGGTTAAAAAAACTGAAATTGAGCAGATAGGGAGAAAAACACCCCTCATTGGTCAAAATACATGAGAAAACTTGTTTAAAAGTTATAGTAAGGTGATTTTGGTGTCTATATATACGTGTTTTTGAGGCCAAGAAAATGATTAGTGGTGTCCTAAATATTTTAAAAGTTTACTGCAATACTTTTTCATTTTGAATAAATCTACTTTTGAAAGCAATTACAATTTATTTATTCAGGATAATATATATTTACTGTATATTTATTCGGTTGAAATTTGAAGAGATCAGTTAAAAAAAGAAAATTAAAAAAATGTTTATGATAATCTGTAATTTGAAATGGCCTCACAATCTGTTTTAAAGATTTATGTCATGATTTCACTTTGGTTTTGAAGGACGAAAGCATTGTTAGCAACATTGACACCATAAATGTTATCGTGTTAACTTACTGGCCCAACACAATTCAGGATGACCTTTGACTGCAAACACATGCTTTTGAGGCTTGCTTCATCGTTGACATTAGCAACCACAATATCAACTTCATGTTCAAGAGTTTTGCCTGAAAAACAATTATTACTCCTTCCACGTAAACCACAATATATATTGAGTGATACATTCAATACACGCTAATTCTTGCAAGTAGACAGGCTTCTGAATGAGACTAGAGAGAAACAAGAGCGACCGCTCACGGGGCCATGTGTTCCTCCATGCTTCAATACGGTACAGGTACAAGTTATTATATTGGTTTTTTGGAAGAGCTAATACGAAAGAAGTTTTTAAATAAGTAGAATGTTTATTTGTGCAAAAAAAATATTATTCAGAATGTTCATTTGTAAAAAAAATTAAAATATCTTAAAATTTAAAAAAATAAAATTTCTTAAAATTGGAAAAAAAACAACATGGATTTTGGTCAAGAACAAGAACAGCAGTGAGGTTCAGGGGTCAGTGCCTTGCGTGAACCCAAACAATGATATGCTATATCTATGAGTAATCATAAATTTTGTTACATTTATAGAAGGTACAGTAACCTATACTACATGGCAGATAAACAATAGTATATATTTTTTGTACACTCCGTGACAATGTAAATAGTTTTAAGAATTTCAACTAAATTGTTGAGAGTATCTGAACATTTGTAATAGATTGCTCTATTTGTCTAAAGGAGAATGAAACATTGAGACACCCTCAACACAGTTCTCCTCAGAACTACTTATGTGTTGTACCGCAAATTTAAATTATTATAAACTTTTATTCATATATTACAGTACTATTTATTTATAATATTTATTTATTAACAGAATTAGGATAACATATTGCCATGGATCGCATCCAATATTTTAAATATTGGATCAAGATGATTTTTTTCAAAGAATTAGGGCCTAGGCCTATAAAACTACCTTACTCGCCTCCATCCTAATAAACGTGCATGGTGCATATGTATTGTTAATGCATAAAGCCTCCTCCCCCAGCTGCCTGTTGGAGAGGATTAGTTAAGGCATAGTAGGCTAGGCTAGGTTGGATCAAGTGCGATCCATGACAATAAACCAACAATTTATGGATCCTGATCTAGCCTCTGCTCAGGCTAGAGACGCTAGCCTAGGCTAGGATAGGTAGGCTAGGCTTCAGGTTGGGTAGGCTAGGCCCTATATATAGGCCTATGCCTAGCCGAGATTTCACAACTTGGCCTACGTGCGCCTGACAAGGTGCGGTACCGACCCGTTATCTCTTGAGCTTGCAGCAAAACACCTCTCAACTTATCAGAATTGCGACCAGCAATCGCCCATCTTAAGTCCTTCTCTGCATCAGTAACCCTAGCTAGTTCTTCTACAACAAATTGGCCAGTGAATCCACTTGCACCAAACACCAAAATATCGTATATTCTTTCAACCTCACTTTCCGGGGAAGCCATTGTCTGGGGTCAATTTAAAAAACGTGTATAGCGCCCCTGGATAACACGGAAGCTTGACCTAGCCAAAATCACTCAAGCGTGAACTTAAAAATATAAGTCCAATCATTAATCGATTTCCGAAAATCAAAATCATCCCATTCAGAAACTTTTTGATCTGAAATACGGGAGCTTCGATCTTCAAGCATACAACAAGCATATTCTAATGATTTTTTTAGGCCATGGTATCAATAAAATCAAAATAATATTAGGTCTATTTGATAGTATCCCATAAGATACTTACGGTACTTTATTGCGCAACTTATATGCAAGTGGTGTGGACCGGTGGTATATCAATCTTCACTCTGGGTATTCCGTTTTATTCTCGACGATTTTGTTGATTTTCCATCCTTGTTGCGTTCTTAATTTCTGTTCCTTATCCATGTCCTATCCAGCGAGTGTGGGTTTGGATGGGTCGCTAGTGGACTTATCAGCCAATTTGTCTTGCTGGTAATTGAGAATATTATACTGTAATAATAATAATAATAATAATAATAATAATAATAATAATAATAATAATAATAATAATAATAATAATAATAATAATAATAATAATAATAATAATAATAATAATAATAATAATAACAATAACAACAACTTTTATTTCTTTAGTAAACGTTTTGATCAGGTAAACAATGACCAAAAAGTTGAAATAGCAAAAAAAATATATGTGTAGTTTACATATGGATGCGAGCGCAGTTTTGTATGACGTCATTATGCAAACATTGATAGGTGAATCACTTAATTTCTCAATCTTATCTCGAGCAATAAAACATAGCGTCATTCAGACTCTTAACAGCTTCAACTGCTCGTACGTATAGCGAAGGGCCCCAGAAGGGACAATCCAGACCTACTTAAATCCCCTATAGTATGGCATGTTATTTATGACTAAACAGGGTAGAACATGGCGTATTGTTCAGTGGGAACTACAGCCGGCCGAGCTCGAATCAACTACTACAATTCCCGCTATATAGCCTAGGCCCTATCTCTTATATAGCTTATGCAATATCTTTTTTGAGTAAAGTCTGGAGAAGTTTTATCGATTATTTATCTAGAGTTTACTCATATTTGTTGTCTTTATGTCCTCTTCTTGTAGGCCTATGCTCGTAGGCCTGGTCACCAACTTCTTTGCCACTTTTAAAGAAAGTTTGTATTTGTCTTTCCTTTTATTATTCCATGATACTGTATTCCATTCTACGTTTTTACATAATGAACGTGATTTTAGATATACCATAGTGTTCAATTGATGCAATATTAAGATTGGAAGTTTGAAATAACAAGAATTTATTTCAATTATATTTTTCAATTAGGCCATACGGATATAAAATAAAACTAATGTTAAAATATATTATAACAACAGGCCTATTATTCGAAAAAGATATAGGCCTGTTATGAAGCGTGTGGCACAGTGGTATACAATGCCTTGGCTTCAAACCGACGACAGTCGTGGATGGGTTCGATTCCTATGCTTTACATTTCTTGTCATCCTTAGGCATACGTTTGTCTAGACACCCAGGTGAAATGTGTGGAGGATGTAAATAAATGGAAAGAAATTCATCTGAATCAAAGACACCTTAAGGCTCAAACAGTTTTTGATCAAACACAGGTTGAGAGTGTTCCATGAAAGAAAAGTGCAACAACTCCAGAAATTCCGAATTCATACATTTTTAAAAAGATGTGTTGTTCAAAAATTTGTTGAAAATTCAAGACAGCTCGATATGTTTGTATGTTAGGCATACCAATTCTAAGAAATCGGTTACTGGTGAATTTAGCAATCATCGACTTCACGCGTCAGTCATGTGTTTTATACATTCTTTCACACGTTTTAAGCCTCAATTATTCCCAAATGTAAAACAATCATACGACAATTAGGTGAGCATAGATCGGTTCGTCATTTCTTCCTCTTCAACATTGAGAATTAACTGTCACTAAACACATAATAAATCTGAGCTAACAATGGTTTTTTATGTTAATCTATGCAGAATTCTACTTTTGGACAAAATCTACTTACGTCACTGAATTTGCAAAACAATCACAATTAGGTGAAGCACAAATGGACTTGTCTTCTTTCTCTTCAGATATCGAGAGTGTGCCTTCGGCTTTAGAGGACGCAAAATCAGGGGAGGGTGTAGTCGAATGATAGAAAATATCCACCACACTGCAGTTAATTAAGAAGTGAAATTTAAACAGACTTAATTTAAAGAAAAACAAGCAACCACAATCCTATTGGAATATTGAAAAATTATTGGAAACTTAAAAAACAATCGAACAGGCATCACATTGTGTCCATCCAGTCTGTAGGTTATACCTTGAAAGTCTATATTATTTCCATGCAATTGATAAATAATGGTGGGCCAGAGCCTCCCCCCCCCCCTCCACAATTCGTCGGGGAGAAAAAAAATTATATGTATTTTCTACATATTAATAGACTCTAAAATCGATTAAATAAGCCGTTAAAACCCCTAAATTGTTAAAATTTCCGGGGGCTTCGCCCCTGGACCACTTTCGAAACCTTTTAATCGAAGCTCGACCACGCCCACATTGGAAATCTGACCCCTCGTCGGGGAATCTCACCTCCCCCGTCGGGGGAATCTCCCCCTCCCCCGTCCTAAGTGTCCTGTCCTAAGTCTTGTGCTTACAACCGGCGTCACGGGATCCTTCGTCGAAATGATATCATGTGATATTTTTTGCTGTCATACAGCAGATAATCGCCAAGAAAAATATTGCAAACATTAAATATTGGACGACGCAATATAGGCCGATGTGGGAGCCGTGATAAATGGATATCATTTTTAACTCTTATCTGCCGTGATAATAGTGACCAATCTGTAGGCTGCCAGGATTGAAATTTGTACCCGTAATCGACGAGATAACACTTCGATACCTGACGTTAGCAACAGGAGAAGAAAGTAAACATTTCTATCTCTTTCATCTCCGATATATGTAAATGGTTGAAATCGGACCATGTGAGTGCTTCGATCATGGAGAACTTCGATTGTCTTCGCACATAAACTGTTTTCCACGAGGTTGTAGAATAAACATGAAGCAATTACTAGAGTTGAAATCCCACCAGGGACTGAATTATACTTTGGTGATAAGTAAATAAGCTACAAATTTTCGATGCGCGCATTAATTATATTATTTTTTAAGTTGGGCTTTTTTTTTTTAGAGCGCACATAGTATTTGTCATAGGCTGTATATCGTAGTGACAGAGATTATGTTGGTATTAATTATTTGTCGTTGGCATCCTTTGCTTAAATCTAATCTCCAATAACGTAACATGTTTGACATTTGCTAGATTAGAACTAACAACTTATAACTTAAATAAAGAAATCCAACGAGAAGCGGATTATAGATTTCATGTTGTGTTGCATTGCCATGGTAACATATTTCAATGATTGATTGGTCTTGATCGCTTATCAGTTATATAATGACAGCTACAAAGACCTGCTACATAATATTATATAAAATTATCCCACTAAATATTATTCAGATATCTGTAAAAAATATGCCCAACTTGTCAAAATATGGATTCCATTGTTCAGGAGACCTACTTACATAAAAATGTAAAATACGCCCTCTATTGTCAAGTTTAATAAAATCACTTCCAATTAAAATATTTACCCAGTCCCTAGCTTTTATATGCGAGTAGGTTTATTATGTCATGGGGTACAAATTTGGTCTAATGCGCGCGGCCGCAGGCTTATGTGCAAACATAAATCTTCGAACACACCCTATTGTTAGCAGCGTGACCACTGCTTGGGTATTTACCCAAGATCTTGGGTATTTTGACTTGGTCTTGGGTTCTTGGGTATTCCGTTCAAATCCTTGGGTATTATATTTTTACTAAGAAAATTAAATATTTTTGTCATAAAGGAAGAATTAAGAAGTAACAAGGCATATTTCAGGCCATTCAAGTAAGCAAAACTCAACGAAGTGCACATAACATTATTAGTTTGACTGTTAATTGCTATAAACATGGGTTCAGAATTGGTTTTTTTTTTTGTGATTTGCGTTGCCATTGATCTTACCTAATTAATGCATTACATAATAAAACTTTATCACTGATCTACTGATAACACTGGCCGACTGAGGGCCAATTTTTTTTTATAGTTTAATAATTATCACAAACAATTACAATAAAAAATTGGTTTATAAATTGAACTAAAAGGGGAACTATACATGCGAAAAACACGTATTTTTCAAATTTGAATGCATTTTTGGAAGCTTGGGTATTTTTGGACCATTTTTGCTGAATCTTGGGTAATTTCGACCCAATCATTGGGTATATCAAAAATTGTGAGTGGTCACACTGATTGTTAGACCTGTGATAATGTTCCGTCGGTGTGTTTGAGGCATTTTTTTTTAAAGTCCGAAACATTTTGTACTTCGTTTTCAGGAAGTGAGAGAGCTTTGATCATCAGAGAAAGAGTTATTGTTGGTTTGACTGAACAATTACGAGGGTGACCCTAGCAGCTACAAAGCCGGACCAGGACCCTCGATGATGGATTGGCCTGGCATAGAGTAGGCCTATATGATAATTATTAATATCAATAACCGTCGAACCGGGGATCGTGGTCCGATCGCATGGAGTCTCTAGTATCCAGAGCAAGTATACATGGTTTGATCCACTGCGAATTCAACCATAATCATATGCACTCGAGCCACAGCAACGGCATAGTTCGATCGACGGCGGATTAACCATCATCGATCTGAGCTGAGTTGCTATTTCATTAGTATTACTTTACTAGTAGTAATGATGATGATAATGATCATTTTAATGATGATACCGTAATGATGATGATTGTATCTTTTGGTCACTTTTCCTTGTTTTGTCTTTGTTCTTTTTAATTTGAATGTTTGGAACTTTTTCTGGTTCATTGAATCATACAAGATACAAGATTCTTTTATTGTCACTTATGGATAAATCCACAAGTAAAATTAATTTTTCTGATGCTTATACAATTAATTAATTAATTAATAGGGCCTACAAAGGCTAAAATTGCAAAAACAATGCAAAATCAATAGTTTCTTCAGAAGTTCCAAAACCTTTTTTGAGGCGTAATAAATAAACGAAATGAGAGAGTGATGATGCTCAGGTCGGATTTAGAGTGTGCCCGGTCCCCGCCCCCACATTAAGTAAAAAAAATAAAGAAAAAAGATATATAGATTATCCAAAAGGAGATTATTTTCGGGCGTCTAGAACACAGAAGTTTCGCAAGGGCATGCCCCGGACCCCCTAGGGTATTGTTATCTCGATCGACTTTCGGCCCTCTTCCGGTCCCCCTTTTTGGACATCTCTGGATCCGCCTCTATTGCTGTTGATGATGATAATAGTAATAATGATGGCGACGACGAAGATGATGATGTGTGAGTCCTAGTACAGTGGCGGATCCAGAAAAGGTTTTGGGTCTGTACACGCCTCAGCCACCACCACGGTTGGGGCTGAGGTGAGAAAATTTACGATTATGGCATGATCACCGGTAATGATACTCTCAGACCATTTTTCTCCATTTTGAATTTAAATTTTGAAAATTTTAGTGTAGTAAATGTAAAATCCTTAGATATGATCAGTGAGTACTGTTTAATCTGCTGCGGATCAAACTATTTGATCTAGCAATAGCATATTAGAGTGGTTTAATTAAAATGACTCATACATTCTTCTGCAACGTTACCTTAATAATAATTTCTTATGAGACTTGTGACAAACACACTTACTGCACAAAGTAATATTAAATTACTTTTCACCAACTTTATCCAATGTAATAGATGGAACGCTCGACGCCTCGGCAATCAAATGGAACACATTACGAGAAAAATTAGTAACATCGTCAGCATAGACTTGTTTAGAGAATTAATCATAAACACTCATCGAAATTGTTTTAAGGTTAAACAAAAAAGAAATTAAAACATAATTACTTTATTTGCTTCTTAATGTACAATCTCAACAGAAATGTACATACGTTTCGTTCAGGGACTTAAGCCCCCATCAGTCTGGTCAAGGCCTCCCCCTCCCCCCCACCGTCCAAAGCTCGTCGGGCAGTCGGACCCAAAAAAAAAAAATTCTCAGTTTGGGTCTGATCAGTCAAGCAGAACATCAAGTCCCAATTACAAAAAAAAATCTCCATACCCTCAGATAACGCTGCGCGCTATAGTTACACCCATAAATACTTAGCCCCCCCACCCCCAGTCGGACATCTTAGCCCTCCACTCCATAAATTATATCCTAGAGCCGCCCCTGGTTTCGTTCCTAGGCACGTGTCCTAGGACATTTATTTGTTCTGTAAGTAGGGTTCCGGTCCATCAAATAGTCCAATAAATTGTATTTACAAAAAAAAGTATAAAACATTATTACAGTTGTCTGAAATTATAATATGCTTTTTCTGTTTTCAAAAGAATCATATACGCACTTGGCTAAATTATTCAATAATGGTATATTTTTAGTTGATAAAATAATGGTAGAATTTAAACTGACATGGGTTAAAACAATAAAATTGAGGTAATAAATTATTTCCGATATTAGAATAAAATGGACAAAGTAAGGTGAAATGATATTCATCTTCAATACAATTTAAGGTGCACATTTTACAAATCCTGTTATTTCTAGGTGTATTATGCCATCTTTTTTCAATTTCAATAGGTAAAAATTCCTAAACGAAGTTTTGTTATACAGTAATATGTTGCTTTTCCATTCTCTTCCGATTTCGATCAAATGAATGAAAGAATAATTCGACGATTTGGTATTAGCAGCTAAAGTACACGTGACGGCGGTTATCATCATCGTCTTCGTTGCCGTCGTGATCCTCATCGTCATCAACATCATTAATTCGTCGTCGTCTCTCATCATCTCACCATCATCATTTCGGTCAAATGAATGAATGAATCGACGATCTGGTATTTAATATTTCATCGTCGTAGTGTGGTTCCGTTGTGACCATCATCATTGGTCGTTATCAACAACGTCATCATCATTTCGTCGTCGTCTCATCATCATTTTCGGTTAAATGAATGAATCGACGATAATAATAATGGTCGACTTACAGAGCGCACATGGAGTCCTACATGCGCTTCATCACCATTGATCTGGTATTTAGTAGCTAAACTTCACGTGACGGCGATTATCATCATCGTCTTCCTTGAATTGAGGTGATCGTCGTCGTTAGTCGTTACCAACATCGTCATCATCATTTCGTCGTCTCACCATCATCATCGCCATCATAATTTCCGGTAAAATAAATGAATGAATGGACGATCTGCTACTGTAGTAGGCCGAACTCCATGTGACGGCGATTGTCATCGTCGTCGTGATCCTCATCGTCAATGGTCGTTATCAACATCGTCATCTCATCATCACCATGTCATCATCGTATATGAGTATTATTAGTATTCTTATGAGTATAACGCTTATCTACATTTAATTAATTTTAATATTATGAGAGTAAGGAAACTTCAGAAAAAGTGCACGGACCACACATTATCACGGCCAATCAGTGTCACACCGACCCGGGGAGTGGTTATTCTTGAGAGGAGGATTTTTTAAAGAATCCATTTACTATAACTTAAACATAACTAATTATAATTATTATAGTTAATATTTACCAAAGTCAAATGGATTTCGATCAAGGTCCCTCTTTTTTCAAACATTAATAAGGGGGCGAGGTTGTTTACCAACGCTCGTTCACCGCATGGCACAATGAGTGAAATTAATGAAACGATAACAGAGTCTAAAGTTCATATCATATATGTAAATTATGTTATCGTCAAAGATAAAAACGTCGGCCACAATGGACGCTCAACTGAGGCAATATTGAGGTAGTCTTTATTCAAGATCCATGAAAAAATCGAGTCTTTGTTTCGTATACAAAAAAATATATCTTCATTATTGCATGTGTCATACTTTTTAAGTATTAACTGATTATAAGAATAAACAGTCATTATGAACAAGGAAGAATTGACTGCACATTTACAAACATTTCAAATTATAAAAACGTAATTCGGAGATAAAAATCAAATCAAACTCCGAATAGAATAAATTATATTTTGTGGAAAAAGATTTGGTTAAAAAAATGATGATTTAAATGCATGTAAGCCCTAGTTGCCATGCAGAAATGAATCGGGCTCCGGTCATGCACTTTTTAGTAACAACGAACTAAGTTACATAGCATTTGATGACAGAAAACTCTTCATATAGATGGTTTGCAAATTGGTTCAATTTAGCATGGATAAGAATGCCTAAAATGACGAAATGGTTTTCTGTTTGCACTATTTGCCGAGTAGGTATATTGATATGGGATTAGGTCTACGGCAATGGTAGATGCATTTGAAATAGTGAGAAGACAGGCCTACATGTCTCTGTAATGTGTTAATGGCGGTGGGGTTGAAGTACATGCCATATTTTGTTGTTTTGTGTAAGAATTGATGCAGCGATTTAGATAATTAGGTAAATGATGGTTAATTTAACCAATCGATAGAACAGCCCAATGTACGTTACTTCCAACAATGAAAATAAAACAAACCTAAAACCATCTAAAGTTTGTTTTTTTAAGTAGACTGTGAAGTCAGTGGTGGTGCCAAATTTTCCAGACATGAGGGGGTTTAAGTCGATGTACCCGGCGGAAGCTCCCTTCCATTAAATTCCCACCCCCCGACGGTCCCGACAGTGGGGTCTCTCTATATACCCTCCCCTGGTACCACCCCTGCATACAGTTAGATTGTTCCTCTACTTAAATATTTGCATCGAAGACTCGTGGAACGTTTCTGCCAATTCATCCAGATGAATAAATACAAATATAACCATGCGTTGATATAAAAATGTTTTGATACGTGGCAAGGGACCGACGTTCAAGATTGTATCATGACTCAGGCATGCATGTTGATCAACGACGCCGAAACGATGATGATGACAGCGGCAGCGAAAGCTTGTAGGCGGCCTTATAGCAGCTCATTAATGAGGCATCTTATTCTGATTGCCCTTTATACATCATGATAAATACATGTTCATGGTCATTACTAATACTAATGAAAGTGCGTTTGTTCTGCCGGATACTTTTGTTTTTTGTTTAAGTTATGAATGTTAACTCATAATATATAGACCGATTATGATGTGTGAACTTGGAACACGGGTTACATAAGTTTGAAATGCATTTTATGAGGCCAGTACACTATATAAAAGTACAGTATAAACAAGCATCATACGATAAAGTAGTGGAATTGTAATTAAAGGATGTAGTGTACGTGTTGATCATGACATCCCATTAATGAAGATTGCACAATTTAAAATACGTTGTGATATGAATAAATGAATAAGAAAATCCTACGTTGCAGATTATGAAAAAAATACAATAATATATAATTACATTGAGGACACCTGTGACACGCAATTATAATAGCAATAATAATAAGAATAAACTATATTATTATTATTATTATTATTCTACAAGGCAGTGAAAAAAAAAAACAAATCTATTTTACATAGACACACA